AAAGCTCCACCAACACTAGTTGAAGTCCTCTATGAAACCTTAGGGTGTGTTTGATTACATTTATTTTTCATGGAAAATATCAGTTTTCCATCTAAATTCCTATTTGGAGTGTTTGATTGCTATTTTTTTCATGGAAAACATTTTCCAACTTTTGAAAATATGTTTAATTTTCCTTGTTTTTAAGGAAAATATTTTCCTTGGATAGAGGTGGTTTTTATTTTCCATAAAAGATGGAAAATATTTTCTTTTCTAGGTTATATTTTCCATGTCAATCAAACACACTCTTAATTCTTTTATGCAGTCAACTAAAAAAATAAAAAAAGGGGGGAAACTATTGTTTCTCATAATTTAGCAATCATGATCAAACAGTGGTAATGCAATAATACTAAGAGGGCAGGAGAGGAGTAAATGCATTTGACCACCAGCAGGACTTGTAGAAACACCTGGCTACCGAATTGGACTATGTATCGCTTAATTTCCAAATAGAACTCTCAGTAAACCAAAATCAAAAGATAGAAAGCAAACCTCAAAGGGAAAACAGCTATAAAGGTTATCTACCCAGGTGACAAGTAGCAGAGTTTACCTTTCCACCAGCTTATTATAACTTAATGGAAAAGACATGCCATTATCATTTTCATCTCCACTCTGCATTCCACTCCGTGAATACCATGCGTGATATCTTCTAGGTAGAAGCTGATGCTCCAGAAGTTCATTCCAAAACTGCCCATACGTCCGGTGACATGGTCCAGCTGACAGGAAATGCATAATCAAAAAATAAACCTCTCTGATGTCAATGTCCACATCAGCTTCTGTTGTTCTTCTTTGCTGGACTGTAGACTGGCCTTTTCCATTTTCCTTACTGGAGAATCGCAATGTTTTGATATTGACAGAAGGAGCATCGCCAGAAGGAACGTATTTCTGGAGAGCCATATCCTGAAGAATCTCGAGGCTGTTACAAAGTAATTATATCAAAACCTTCATTTCTCATCCCACAAGAAGTGAAAACCAAATTTTATACGTCAAAACTCAAAATCCAGGAAACTTTAGGATTTGGTTTAGACTCAAAACAGAATTAAGAATAAAGAAGGCCGCTTTGTCGATATTGCTGAGGGCCTGAGATTATCTGTCAACATTAACAAAGACAAACACCTTTTATTAATTTCCATTTCATTACAAGTAACATGGGTCCATGTCCCATGATCGTAGTCAATGCCAATGCCATCTCAGCCATTAAATCTAAATTTTGCTATTTAATGTTGATACACACCACATAGACCATGTTTCACTAAAAATAACATTTTTATATCAGCTGTCCAAGTCCTTGAAATCCATGAAGATGGAACATTCTAGAAAAATTGATTACTCACCACTAAAAGATTTTTTTTTTCCTTTTTTCATTTCATTGTCTCAATAAAATACTTTTACCTCGTTCAATTCACAGCATTTATACACAAAGCAAAACACTGTCATATAAATGGCTTATTAACCACATTCATTAATGTACATTTAAAAACTTATTCGCTATAATAATAGAGGAAATGTGAAATGATACAATCACTTGATGCATAAAAACCAACATGTGCATATCCATGCGTATGTATATCATAAACCTGCTTTGTAAAACTAAAAAAAAACCAGGTTAGTAATTAAAATTATTTCCAGATTTGCTCACAAAATCAAAATCAAAAGTAAACAAAAAAGCAAGCAAATCAAACCCGATAAGGCCTAAAATTAAAGATCGAACCTCTGAATGCTTAGAATTGTTATCACAACCGGATACTCAAAACTTTGACTCATTAGCATTCCAGTGTGGCATTTGAAAACAAAACCCCCAAATTTCCAAGTTATTTACACTTTATACTACCACAAAACAAACATATAAACAATTCAAAAAAAACAAATTAACACCATTCGAGATCTAATCCATCACATGCAAAAAGCCCTATAAAATTATTAACAAAACCAAATACGAAATTCCCTTTTCTCGTAATTGGAAAATTAAATATTTACCTGTAACAGAGTGTACCATTAACAACAAAACAAATTCGTTTAGGTAGAGACAAAAAACTGAACGAACGGCAAGAATGGAGATCGAAATTAAGAGAACTTTTTAAAGGATAAACAAGAATTAATAAAATTCAATTTCACAAAAAGGGGATATTACATTAGGGCTAATAATGAATTGAATTTACTGGTTTTGATTTAGATATATGGGAGGGAGCTCTGTCGAAAGTTTGTATTGAAACACTGTATTTGAGTTTTTCGTGTAGATAGTTTGAGAGAGAGAGAGAGAGGAAGAAGAGAGAGACGTTTTAGAGAGAGAGCGTCATATATATAACTTTAAGCCCACTCTAGGACCCTTAGACGCCTTGAGGTGAAAATATAAAATTAATTGTTTCAATGGTCATGTATTTAATTAGTCATTGAATTTTAAAATGTCAAGTTTTGATCATTGAATTTTGAAAAATATCGAGTTTGATCACTGAATTTAGATTCATATCTTTGATTGCTCAATAAACTTTAAAATATCGAGTTTTGACCACTGAACTTTGAAAAATATCGAGTTTTGGCCACTGAACTGAAGTTCATGTATTCAATTGCTTACTGAAATTTAAAATGTCAAGTTTTGGCCACTGAACTTTGAAATATGCCGTACGTTACTCATAAGCATAACTGTTGAATTTTAAAAAATATCGAGTTTATAGTGAATAATGTACAACATTTTTCAATGTTCAATGAATAATATATAATATTTTTCAAAATTTAGTGAGTAATGTACAATATTTTTCAAAGTTTAATGACCAAAACTCGATATTTTAAAGTTCGATAAGCAATCAAAGACATAGAACTAAGTTCAGTTGCCAAAACTCTACATTTTAAAGTTTAATGGCCAATCAAAGATATGAACCTAAATTCAATAACCAAAACTCAATATTTTAAAGTCCAGTGATCAATAAAAAACATAGACCTAAGTTCAGTGACCATTGGAACAATTAACTTGAAAATATATCATATATGTAAAGATTAACAAATTTGCATTTATGCCCTTGTGTTTCTTGTATTTTTTATGTTGGTGCTTCTATATTCTTAATACAAATCTTGGACCGATAAATTATATTGTGATATGGTTGTCAAGGCAATCATATGACCTATAGGATCAATAGGCCTAGAACTCGAAGCCTAGCAAAACCCAGGCTCTAGACAAGTAGATCACTTCAGGGCTCGGATCATACAGGACTAAATCTTGATTATTGCTCTAGGGCTTGATATTAAAAAAATAATAATAAATAAATTGGAAACTTGGGAAATTAATTTATTAGTGCATATTAAAAATCAAAATATAGCTAGCTTTAAGGGTCCTGCAATGCTAAACATAGCACGGCAAATTATAGTGATAGGGCGAAGTTCAACGAGACCATGCAAGTCCCCATGTAGCACGGCCATACCCTTTGTGTCCCTAGTATTCCAAACACAGGTTCCATGGTTTAACCCATCTATAGAGTCCTATTAATCAATCCACTCATATGAAAAAATGCTTTTTTCGATAATTTTGTAACAAGTGCATCACCTTAATCTGACAAATTGGTGTATTGTGCCTACTAACCAAATATGGATGGTCTACAACCAATTTGTCAAAGAATTCTACATTAATGCATAATTGCATGAGCAGGTTCGAATCATTTTAAGCTGTTATATTAAGCCATTTAAATCTATTTCACATACTATGTTTGGAGACATGAAAAAAATGGCTCAAGTAAGCTCTCAAGAATACAATGTCGACGGTTATAAGTTTTCAAGATGGTTATCTTAGCTTTTCTCATATTATGTGACTTTATAGCAATAATTTCTTTATTTTTTTTTAAAAAAAATAGAAATTTGATTTTGACAATATCAAGGCACTTGGTTCCCATAAAGGACATTCTTCTTGAACAAGTGTGGTCGTTGACAAAATGGCAAAGTACATTGGAGATGGCAAATGATGTTGTTTAAAAACGTGAAGCTATTATATTTCAAATTTCACGCATCAAAAATCAATTCATGATTTAATCTTTGGAATAAAACAACGCCTATCACTTACGCTGTTATACAATCGAGAAGGAAGAGAACATGGACAATTCCTTATTCAACTCAGGTTCCTTCTTCCCAACTTGTAGTTGAAGAGAATTCTCAATTTAGTTTTATGTCAGCAATCATGTGTTTAGTTTAAATTAATCAACGATATAAATAACTACTAAAAATTAGTATTGGAAGTTTAAATGAGAATATTGATACATTTGGTAGTCATCTCAAATTATTGAAATATATTAATTTCTTAACATGGACCCACCCTAAAGGGAAAGTTCTAAAAATAGTTACCTCAGGTCCTCAGCTATTTGTTAATTGCTTCCAAAAATTTGGGTGAAAAAAAAAAAAAAAAAAAAAAAAAAAAAAACTTTTCAAAACTAGCCCTTAGGGTCTGTTTGATTGTAAAGATGAAATTTGGGTGGAAAGAAAATGAATTTTAGAGAATTGAATTGCCTAGAAATTATTTTACTGGAAATTGTCAATTGATAGTGCTTGATTGGTATAATTTTCTAGTGGAAAATGTTGAAATAAAAGTGTCTTTTGATGTTTATTTGGCTTTGTTTTTTATGAAAATTGTCAATTTAAGAAATATTCACTTTCAACATTGTTTCTAGAATTTGTTTCCATTGCCAACAAAAAAAATCCAAAAATTATCTATATTTTGGTGTTCGTTTGGTTTTGTTTTACATGAAAATTGTCAATTTAAAGGATATCCACTTTTACAATTGTTCCTAGAATTTGTTTACATTGCCAACAATTAAAAAAAAAAACAACAAAAAAAATGTGGAATTCCAAAAACCACCTACCCCATGGGAAACTAAAAGGTGAAATTTCATGCTTTACCGACTTGTACTTAGAAAATCATGGAAAATCAATTCTCCGGAAAATTTTGTTAATCAAACAAGCCAAAAGTGAAAGTTGGAATTCGAATTCCACATTTTATGAAAAATATAGTGTAATCAAACAGGACCTTAATGTTCAGCAACTTCTGAGAAAAGGAAAAAGATAAAAAAAGAAAAATAATTAATTCAAAAACTTACATTTCCATTTTTACAAGTAAATTTACATAAATGTAAACTATTTGAACTTAGCCTCACATGCTCCAAGTCGAAAAGTTCTCGAGAGTAAAATAACATAGTGAAGACAATCATCAAAATTGGGGCGATGGGGGTGGCGGGAGGCATCTTAAGGTTAAATGAAAAATATTAGATAGTATTGTGATGAAACATAAGATATAATTTCACAATAAAAAAATCTTAATTCTCAAAACCTATATAAAGAGGAAATATAGCAATTTCCTCAACTTACAAAACCAATATATTGATTTGATCCTGATCGAAACCAAAATTCATCGATAATGGCCAACCAATAATATGAAAAAAGGTCTGAAATTTATGACTCAACTTAATTTTATTTTAACTTGATCATTCTGTATTGCTTTCAAAGTCATCCCGACACATTAGGTAGGGTCAACAAAGAGATCTAGAGCAGAAATTCGATTGGCTCAAAGAGATAGCAACTTTTCTAATCTCGTCTATTATTTATGAAAAAAAATGAATTAAGGAGTCAAATAAAATGGAATTAAATTAAAGTAGTGACTATCTTAAAACTAATTTGTAAAGTAGGTGACCCCGGGTGAAAATTTATCCCCAAGAGACGGCTCGTCTACCGTTCTTCTATTCAGGATTCTCGATTTTCCCGACTGCTTAAGTTATCCGCGCTTATAGTTCACACTGTACGAAACTAGACGAGATAAACTGGAGAGAAGACGCTTCTCGCTTCATGCTTCACCGACTCCGTTTTCATTCAATCAAATTTCGCTTCCAAGAGTTCAATTTCAATTCAACAAAACAATTTTGGACGCTTTTTCAATTTTGATGTCTTACCTAATTATATAGAAAAAGGAAAATAATTTGATTCAGATGGAATCGTCCGTGATAACCCCAGAGGATGTTCTGGAATCGCTGATGAACGACGGAACAATCGACGCCATCAGATTGAAAATCATCACTCAGTTAAAAGCCAATGTTAGTTCATATATACACATATATATTAGATCGATTTCGTTATTATTACTTTTTTTTTTTGTATATCAAGTCGTTTGACAATTGAACAGCTCATTTTAGCTGGAATATCATCTTGAAACATTAAGTCGCTCGATTAATATTCACTCAGATGTTGAATTTCACCCTGACACTCGCACGGAAATAAAATTGTGGTAATTGTCATTTTCTTGCACATAATGGATTTAGTTAATTAGGATTAGAAGAGAATCAGTGTTGGTTTTGTTAAAAAGAGAATGTTTTATATTTGCTATACGAGAATGAGAATTTGATGGTGAATAGTGCTGTAATTGGAACGGGGACCTATTCAGGATTTTCCAATAGCGAGGTGAGAAATGTTCTTTTAAGCGAACTTCAATTATTAGAGAAATTTTACTGTGACCCATCAACAAGGCCAATTGTGTCATGTTGCTTATCATTGTTTTTTGAAAATTTCGGCCTTCTCATTATGGACTAAATCGGCATACCTGCGGATGCGGCATATATAAGAGCTGTTTTTTGTTCGAAATATGCACCATCTAAGCTTCTTTCTCTGGACATTAAAGTGATATTTTTGGGGCTGGGCACCCTAGCCCCTATGTACTCTCCAGACCTGTAAGGGTCTTTTTTGTAGTCATTGTTGATTATTGCAATTTGTTAGATGTTGCTTATCATTGTTTTTTGAAAATTTCGGCCTTCTCATTACGGACTAAATCGGCATACCTGCGGATGCTGCATATATAAGAGCTGTTTTTTGTTCGAAATATGCACCATCTAAGCTTCTTTCTCTGGAAATTAAAACGATATTTTTGGGGCTGGGCACCCTATCCCCTATGTACTCTCCAGACCTGTAAGGGTCTTTTTTGTAGTCATTGTTGATTATTGCAATTTGTTAGATGTTATTAAACTGTTAGCCATTCTTGAAAGCGAGTCAGCAAATTTCTTTGGCAGCATGTCTCATCGATTATAGCACTTTCTTAGACATTATTAGAGTGTTCAACTGTGCTTAGAAGCGGGTTAGCTGCTTTACTTTGCAGCATGTCATGTACACGCGATTAAGAATGCCAGCTAAAAGAGCAGCATTCAAGCACGGCCAAACATGCTGCAGGTTCTCTTCTTTAAGCATAGAACTTCCTCAGGATATTGCCTTCCTTTCTGGGCTAATTATCAAGCATATGAATACCTTTGTCAATGCTAATTATATAACCACTTCCTATATGCAAATGCTATAAGCAATTTGTTAGAAACGTTTTTCTATAATATATCTACGTGGGCATGTGGCCCAGAGTGTTATAAATGCATAGGAAAATTCAGGTTCATACTGTGTGTCAACTTTTTACCGGTACAAACACTGTGTTGTATGGAATCCATTTCAAGACAGAAACCAGTGCTCTTTTTGATGCATCATGGTATTTTTATCGACAATGTCGAAATTAATTGAAAGAACAAAATTTATGGAATGAATGATAGGTTTGCCTTATTGAGATTCATGACTTCATGTTTAATTTTCTTGAAAAACCTTTATGGTTGATCCATATAAATGATAGCTTGGATATGTTCACCTAATGCCGGATGTATAGGAAGAATTATAGAAGGGGAAATGGGAGAGAAGAAGTAAAAGGAGCGGGAAACGATGGCAGAAGAGGGGGAGAAAAAGAGAGAAATTGGGGAAGAAATTCAGATTATTTCATAATCAAAAGTTGTTCTATTACAACGCAAAAGAACCATTTATGTAGGGTTTGATATATTCTACCTTAATAAAGAAAATATTTAATAAAAGCAACTAAATTAAACCTAATTATATTTCCTAAAATACGAATTAAAATTGGAAGCTAAACATAATAATATTTCTTTCTGATATTGCATCATCACCATTACCAAAGCACGTCAAGAAAACACATTATATTTGTAAAATTTATATTTTTCGTCGGTGTCTCAAATTCAGTCCATTGAGAAAAGAAAATCCGAGTCACTGCTTATATGTAGGAATATACAAACACCAATTAACTCAATTAACCTAGTAAAAGTAATCTCCACGAAGAAAAAGCAGCCTATAATTTGTAATTCGCCTTACTAAAACAAATATCAATTGGATTTTCTATTGAACAAAAATGATTTTGTCAACAAGAGTGAGAAGAACTTATAATCGGTAGCTATGGAGTAAGTAATTTTCTGTCTCAGGCTGTTTATTTTGGAACGTACTGCACTTTTTAGGTGGAATTTGTCTTCGAAGATGCCACTACTGGGGATGTGAGACTGATGGCTGGTATTGGAGGCAACCCATTTAACATTGTGCAATTAGTGAGGGGAAGATTTATTAGAGCATGAGCAGTCTCATGGAGTGATTATGATTTCATCGAAGGCGTCATTAGATAAATCAACATAATTAAAGATGCGCATGTTGAAGGAGTTACAAGTATGAGATCTAACCATAGCAGTAGCGAAGAGTTTCCAATTACTACAAGCTTGCACCAAAATCTAGCCCTTGTCCTTTTGCTTTAGTCTTGGATGAGCTTATGAGACATATCCAAGACGAGGTTCCTTTGGTATAAGTTATTCCAGAATCTCGTATATTTAGTTGATCAGACTAGGCAGAGAGTTGAAAAAATTAAACAATCTTGTGAGTTGTTGTGCTCGATTAGTCGCTCAAGGGCTTTGAACTTTACCTGGACCTGATGAGAAAATTGGAATAACTTCTTATGGGTTCGTTGAGAGTGATTCTGATGAGGACATCCAGTCGTTTTTATTTATTTCTAATTTTTATTTATTTCTAGTTGGACCTTATTTCATTTTTGTGGACTTTATTGTTTTGGATTCTTATTAGGCTTATATTGGCCCAAGCCCAATCTAGTTAGAGTTTAGGTTTTTAATACCTAAACTAATTTGCATTGTGATTTATTTTCAGTTGATGAATGAATAAAATTTTTGTTGGCTTGTGGCGAATTCTCTCTTTTTACTTTCTTCTATTTCTTCTAGTAATTCTTCTACCGTTCTTCCTCAACCTATTTTCTTTCTCCACTAATTATGTCATTCTATCCTGCATCAAATTTGGTATCAGAGCCGAAATTTGGGTAATTTCTCATTTACAATCCAAAATTTTCTTCCTATCCTCTTCCAAAAAACTTGTGGAACAGCACAAACAAAAAATATTGTTGTGAGGCTGCAGTTTTCTTGTCCAATTTTCTTTCTAGTTGATTAGGAAAAAAATTCGTTATTGTTTACACCCGGAATTCCAATTTTTTTTTAGATTTTGCAGTAGTTTAACCCAAAAAAAAAATAAAAAATTGCTACTGTTCACTGGTACTGTTCACACTTGGAATTTCATTTTTTTTTTTATTTTTTCTTCAGTTTCCCCAATAAAAAAAAAAAAATTCAGTTTTAGAGTTTTAGACGTTTGCTGCTGCTAAGTATGTTATTTCATAAATTTCATCCCAAACAATCAGACCCTACTTACATTTAGCCTACATAAAAGATCAGCCCACCTTACGTTAACCCAACCCTATAATAATCCATATACCCACATATAATTATTACTCGTGAGCCCATTCCTTTTATCAAGACATTTGGGCCATAAACTAGTGGCCCAAATTACTCTCAATCCCAGTTGAAACTCACTCTCAGTTAATCTAATTCAAACCCACAACCCATTTCTTCTCAGTCACCACGGCCACCATAAGCTACAGTGACTAGACAAATCGTTTCACCTACACACAACCCAGACGCAGTACACCCCTTTACTTCCACACTCAGTATAGAAGTCACAGTCGTCTCCACTGCCACCTGCCGCCGCCAACACCACAACAGAGGAACAATTTCTACATACACCACCAACAGAACTAGAATAGCAGTCACTCATATTCACAAGAAACCACCTGAAGCGAAGTCCATATACCCACATATAATTATTACTCGTGAGCCCATTCCTTTTATCAAGACATTTGGGCCATAAACTAGTGGCCCAAATTACTCTCAATCCCAGTTGAAACTCACTCTCAGTTAATCTAATTCAAACCCACAACCCATTTCTTCTCAGTCACCACGGCCACCATAAGCTACAGTGACTAGACAAATCGTTTCACCTACACACAACCCAGACGCAGTACACCCCTTTACTTCCACACTCAGTATAGAAGTCACAGTCGTCTCCACTGCCACTTGCCGCCGCCAACACCACAACAGAGGGACAATTTCTACATACACCACCAACAGAACTAGAATAGCAGTCACTCATATTCACAAGAAACCACCTGAAGCGAAAGTAATTTTAATGTCGCCGATTTCGCCTCTTTTGCAATCAGTTTCGCTACAGCACCCGCTGTTCTAACTAATTGTCCACGCTTTCTAAGTGTGATTTCTATATTATGTATGGCCGTGCCTAAGGGCACTCCACGTGTCAGCAGTTCAAGCAACTAAACGATAGGGAGTCCTTGACCTTTATTTATTGTTGGTTTACACTACTTCATTTTAAGATCGCATAATACATTACTTGTGTTGCTGTTATTTGATAATTGTAACCTTAAAAATCTACTTGATCAGAATTTGTGTGTTCACATCCATTGTTCCCCGATTACCCCCACGTGATTAGACCTTTCGAATAGTCATTTGTATTCTTGTTTTCTATTTTATTTGTATCAGTATTATTAGCTTGCCACGTTCGGCCCTACGTAATCTCTGCTTTTTTTTTTCAGTAACTTAAAAAAATAATAAATAAAATAAAAATAAAATAAAATAAATTGCTATTTTACTGTGGGTACTTGTTGTTTATTGATCTCAGTAGTGTATTTCACTTAGCTGGTGTTACTTTGTATGCATTTGCGTAGTGGTCGCGTTATTACCTCTAGTTCTAGTACCCTTGTCATGGATCCGTCCCAAATTGAGGCCCTCACCTGACAGTTAACACAATTACAAAATCAATTAACGGCTATCCAAACTGAGGTAGTTGCTACTCGTGAGGAGAATAGATCCCTAGCCGCTAGGTTGAACAC